AAGGGTGTTGAAGGTGTTGGGCCGCCCTTTTGGTTTAATTTTATTCTTTAAGAAAAGAGAGAAGGGATTTATTCTAAATTCCACCCCCCTGAAACCCTGTTGTTTTTTGGTTTCATTATTCGAGGCCAGAGAAGTGAGACTCTAAACAGTAATTTATCTTGAAGATGAGAGAGAGGGATTTATTCTAAATTCCACCCCCCTCGAATCTTGTTTTGTTTTTTGGACGTCTTTTTTCGAAACCAGAGAAGTGAGACTCTAAACATTAACTTCCCATTAAGAAGAGAGAGAAGGGAATTTATTCTAAATTCCACCCCCCTCGAATCTTGTGATGTTTTTGTATTTGGTTTTTGGATTTCACTATTCGAAACCAGAGAAGTGAGACTCTAAACATACATTTCAATCTTGCCCGGCTTAAAAAAAGCGGGGGGGTTGGGGGGGGCGCAGCCCCCCCCATTTGCAAACACGATGCTTGCATTATGGGCTTAACAAGCATTCTTATGCTTTGAAGCAAACCTGCCCGGCTTACAACAAGGAGGGCCTTTTGTCAAGGTGAGGCTTGGGGAAGCGGCTGCGGCCTGCACCTACCCGACGCCTCCTTTGTGCAGTGACGTGGCGCGGGGCTAAGCCGAGAACCCATGTTTTGTTTTGTTTTGTTTTGGAGATGATTCATATCCTTCCACGCAAACTTGCTCGGCTTAAAAAAGCGGGAGGGTTGGGTAAAAAGCCCGGGGGTTGGGGCAAACACGTTGCTCGCGTCAGAAGTGGATTCAAATGTTTTTGGTTGCCTCTTAAAAATGCCTCATTGACAGCTGCCTAAACCCTTTGTGCAGATGTTTTGTTTTGTTTTGTTTTGGAGATGATTCAGATGCTTCCACGCAAACTTGCCCGGCTTAAAAAAGCGGGAGGGTTGGGTAAAAAAGCCCGGGGGTTGGGGCAAACACGTTGCTCGCGTCATGGGTTTGAGTGGATTCAAATGCTTTTGTTTGCCTCTTAAAATGCTGCCTAAAAACCCTCCACAGAAGGGCCAGGAAGTATTACGCCTCTTACACTGCTGCCCAAGCCCTCCAGAAAAGACCCAGAAGGCCCAGCAGGTATTACGCCTTTTAAACTGCTGCCCAGACCCTCCAGAGAGGGCCAAGATGAGAGAGGGGGATTTGTTCTAAATTCCACCCCCCTCGAATCTTGTTTTGTTTTTTGGACTTCTTTTTTCTAAACCAGAGAAGTGAGACTCTAAACATTAACTTCCCTTTAAGAAGAGAGAGAAGGGAATTTATTCTAAATTCCACCCCCCTCGAATCTTGTGATGTTTTTGTATTTGGTTTTTGGATTTCACTATTCGAAACCAAAGAAGTGAGACTCTAAACATACATTTCAATCTTGCCCGGCTTAAAAAAAGCGGGGGGGTTGGGGGGGGCGCAGCCCCCCCCATTTGCAAACACGATGCTTGCATTATGGGCTTAACAAGCATTCTTATGCTTTGAAGCAAACCTGCCCGGCTTACAACAAGGAGGGCCTTTTGTCAAGGTGAGGCTTGGGGAAGCGGCTGCGGCCTGCACCTACCCGACGCCTCCTTTGTGCAGTGACGTGGCGCGGGGCTAAGCCGAGAACCCATGTTTTGTTTTGTTTTGTTTTGGAGATGATTCATATCCTTCCACGCAAACTTGCTCGGCTTAAAAAAGCGGGAGGGTTGGGTAAAAAGCCCGGGGGTTGGGGCAAACACGTTGCTCGCGTCAGAAGTGGATTCAAATGTTTTTGGTTGCCTCTTAAAAATGCCTCATTGACAGCTGCCTAAACCCTTTGTGCAGATGTTTTGTTTTGTTTTGTTTTGGAGATGATTCAGATGCTTCCACGCAAACTTGCCCGGCTTAAAAAAGCGGGAGGGTTGGGTAAAAAAGCCCGGGGGTTGGGGCAAACACGTTGCTCGCGTCATGGGTTTGAGTGGATTCAAATGCTTTTGTTTGCCTCTTAAAATGCTGCCTAAAAACCCTCCACAGAAGGGCCAGGAAGTATTACGCCTCTTACACTGCTGCCCAAGCCCTCCAGAAAAGACCCAGAAGGCCCAGCAGGTATTACGCCTTTTAAACTGCTGCCCAGACCCTCCAGAGAGGGCCAAGATGAGAGAGGGGGATTTGTTCTAAATTCCACCCCCCTCGAATCTTGTTTTGTTTTTTGGACTTCTTTTTTCTAAACCAGAGAATTGAGACTCTAAACATTAACTTCCCTTTAAGAAGAGAGAGAAGGGAATTTATTCTAAATTCCACCCCCCTCGAATCTTGTGATGTTTTTGTATTTGGTTTTTGGATTTCACTATTCGAAACCAGAGAAGTGAGACTCTAAACATACATTTCAATCTTGCCCGGCTTAAAAAAAGCGGGGGGGTTGGGGGGGGCGCAGCCCCCCCCATTTGCAAACACGATGCTTGCATTATGGGCTTAACAAGCATTCTTATGCTTTGAAGCAAACCTGCCCGGCTTACAACAAGGAGGGCCTTTTGTCAAGGTGAGGCTAGGGGAAGCGGCTGCGGCCTGCACCTACCCGACGCCTCCTTTGTGCAGTGACGTGGCGCGGGGCTAAGCCGAGAACCCATGTTTTAGGGTTTAGGGTTTAGGGTTTAGGGTTCAGGGTTTAGGGTTTAGGGTTTAGGGTTTAGGGTTTAGGGTTTAGGGTTTAGGGTTTAGGGGTTTAGGGTTTAGGGTTTAGGGGTTTAGGGTTTAGGGTTTAGGGTTTAGGGTTTAGGGTTTAGGGTTTAGGGTTTAGGGTTTAGGGTTTTGTTTTGTTTTGGAGATGATTCATATGCTTCCACGCAAACTTGCTCGGCTTAAAAAAGCGGGAGGGTTGGGTAAAAAGCCCGGGGGTTGGGGCAAACACGTTGCTCGCGTCAGAAGTGGATTCAAATGTTTTTGTTTGCCTCTTAAAATGCCTCATTGACAGCTGCCTAAACCCTTTGTGCAGATGTTTTGTTTTGTTTTGGAGATGATTCAGATGCTTCCACGCAAACTTGCCCGGCTTAAAAAAGCGGGAGGGTTGGGTAAAAAAGCCCGGGGGTTGGGGCAAACACGTTGCTCGCGTCATGGGTTTGAGTGGATTCAAATGCTTTTGTTTGCCTCTTAAAATGCTGCCTAAAAACCCTCCACAGAAGGGCCAGGAAGTATTTCGCCTCTTACACTGCTGCCCAAACCCTCCAGAAAAGACCCAAAAGGCCCAGCAGGTATTACGCCTCTTAAACTGCTGCCCAGACCCTCCAGAGAGGGCCCAGCAAGGATTAGGCCTTTAAACTGCTGCCTAAACCGCCACAGAGGGCCCAGCAAGTGTTACGCCTCCTAAACTGCTGCCCAAATCCTCCAGAAAAGACTCCGCAAGTATTGGGCTTTTTAAACTGCTGCCTAAACCCTCCACCAGGCCCAGCAAGTGTCGAGTGGGGTGGGCATTGGGCCTCATTGACAGCTGCTTAAACCCTTTGTGCAGATGTTTTGTTTTGTTTTGTTTTGGAGATGATGCATATGCTTCCACGCAAACTTGCCCGGCTTAAAAAGCGGGAGTGTTGGGTAAAAAAAGCCCGGGGGTTGGGGCAAACACGTTGCTCGCGTCATGGGTTTGAGTGGATTCAAATGCTTTTGTTTGCCTCTTAAAATGCTGCCTAACAACCCTCCACAGAAGGGCCAGGAAGTATTACGCCTCTTGCGCTGCTGCCCAAGCCCTCCAGAAAAGACCCAAAAGGCCCGGCAGGTATTACGCCTCTTAAACTGCTGCCCGGACCCTCCAGAGAGGGCCCAGCAAGTATTATGCCTTTTAAACTGCTGCCTAAACTCCCACAGGGGGCCCAGCAAGTGTTATGCCTCTTAAACCGCTGCCCAAATCCTCCAGAAAAGACTCCGCAAGTATTGGGCTTTTTAAACTGCTGCCTAAACCCTCCACCACAGACCCAGCAAGTGTCGAGTGGGCATTGGGCCTCATTGACAGCTGCCTTTGTGCAGAAGGCCCAAGCCCCCCTTAAACCCGTACTTCATGTCCCTTCAAGCCCCCCTTGAACCTCCCTCGAAGCCTCCTTGAAGCCGTAAGCCCTCTGGGGGGCGTAAAGGGGGGGCTTTAAGGAGACTTTAAGGACGGCAGAAAGGGGGGGGGCTTGGCTTTAGGGGGGGCTTTAAGGGGGGCGTTAAGGGGGGCTTTAGGGGGGGGGGTGCTTAAGCGGAGGGCTTTAGGGGGGGGCTTGAAGGGGGGCTTTTAAGGGGGGCTTCAGGGAGGCAAAAGGGAGGGGCAAACGGGGGGGCGTAAGGGGGGGGGCCTGGGCTTAAGGGGGAGTAAGGGAGGTTAAGGGAGGGCTTTAAGGGGGGCTTAAGTGGGGGCTTAAGGGGGGGGCTTAAGGGCTTTGACCCTTTGCCCCCCCCCCTCGGGGCCCATCCTCATGCTTCGAGCGTTTCAGCGAGAGAGACTGAAGACCCACTGAAACCTTTGAAGTTTTCCTGGAAAATACCGCAGTGAGAGCGATCGAGTGCTGACGTAGTGGAGACAAGAGCGGAATTTGTGCAGAGCGGATGTTTTCGATTCTGGTGGGGGGATACCTTGGTCTAGGTTGGAGTCGGAGCACTGTCGTAAGCCCATGATTGTTCTCGTGGTCATGTTTGCGCAATCGCACCTTGTCTGGCGCTCAAAAAAATCCGCACGGATGCCGCTGCTGTTTTTTGTATTTCTGGTCCGAATCTGAGAGTGAATAGTGACCTAGTGAGTTTCCTGGTTTGGAAGTCATCGTCGAATCATCGGCGCAGGCGGAGGAGTGTCTGCGGTGCTTGAAGAGTTCAATTTCGGTTGGTGTTCTGTTTTGTGGGCTGATGCTGCCCCTTTGGTCAGGATGTTGCTCTCTGTCCTGGACGTTGAGCAAATGTCGCACACGCAACGACGCGTCTCGTATCTCGAAGGTTGTGGTGTCCAGACAGTCTAGACATGCTGCCTCACGCTAGCATTCTTCGTTTTGACTGTGCTGCCAGGTCAGCGAGCTCTTCGACATGCCCACCATCTCGCGAGCGATTTGCAAATTCAGGTCTTGCGTTTGCGAGGCGCGCTGGTGCGCTCCCAGGAGGCTGTACACGCTCTTCGACACCTTGTTGTCCTGCCCTCTTTTCGTGGTGGGCAGCATGGCGAACTGGTTCGCCGCATTGCTTCATGCCTGTATTTGCCTTACGTTCCTTGCTCCATTTGTGCAGCTGCGTTTTTCTAGCGCACCAACCAAGGCCGAATTTCTCTTCCCCTCTATGGGCGCACCGACCTCGCCACTTGTGCGGGTTCTTTCCCTCCATCCGTGTCCGCGGTGCGTGCAGTTGTCTCTTCGCGAGCCGCTGTTGGGCCCGGTGCCCCTCGAGGGCCTCCTGCGGCTGCAGCATGAGGCGCGCGCTTGAGCTTCGTCTTGGGTTCAACGGCGCCAAGAAGTTTCATGTGCGCAGGTCCTGGCACAGCGCGACTTCGTTCATGCGTTGACTTTGGCATTGATCCGGCTAACTGCACGTGTCTGTGCTTCCGAAAACTTGGAGGGCTTTCTCTTCTGGGAACTGGGGTGCATCTAGTTTACAGTCTAAGCGCGGTCCGTACGGCCCTGTGAATGTTTGTGATTGTTGCTGCCGCTGTTCCCAGAATCGTTCAGTGAGCAATCGTTCAGCAAGCGTGCTGTTGCAGCTTCAGCGTTTGAGAAGAAAAGCTGCTTCGGATTGCTTGCCTTCAGCGCTTCTTTCCAGCTGCTTCGATTCTGGGCTGGCCTGATCTGAGCCTGGCAGGCAGACTACGTGTTAAGTCTGGGCCTCAACTTGTGTTCTGCCATATTCTGCACACTTCTTGACTCAATCCTGTATATGCTTTTGCAGAACCCCAGGACATGCTCGACAGCTTGGAAGACACATGACTCGCAGCTGCTCTATAAATTCTACAAGCAAGTGTGATGCAGCATCGCCGTGTCTAGTTTTCAGACTCTTGCAGTTTCGTTTAAGCAGCGTGCGCGCTTCGGCTCAGGCGCGAGACGGTCAAGAACTCAAAGCTGAGGAGGCTGGGTTTCGTTGAGGGCTGCAAGGGATCTTCATACGCTTGCAGCGAACGCAGAAGTCAACCTGACGAGGTGCTCCAGCCGACCTTGGGCTGTGTTTTTTTTGGAATGCTGCGTGGAGTCAAAAAACCTGCCCGAGCCATCGTTTTGAGGCGGTGTCGGACAGTGAGCGTGACCTGCAACATCGGGAGCATGTTTGTGTCGCTTTTGCAGCCTTTGGTGCAAGTTGCGAGTTGTGATTGTCCTCAACGTAACTATTGGTCTGTGCTATGTCCCTCCTTGGCCGCCCCTTGCGTTTGGGTCCCGACCACCAGCGTGTGGCCCCGGGATTCGTGGTGGCGGAGGTTGACACCGTCCTGTGGGCTTCCCCCACGTCGTGGAGTGTTCGCTCTCGCGTTCGCCGTGGCGATGTTTTTCTCGCAACCAGCTTTGTGAAACAAGTGGGCCCATGGACCATGCTTCCTGTGCATGGCGGTGGTGCGGTGGAAGCTAAATCCTTTCGGGCGGCCATGGCAGATGACCTTAAGATCGCAGCTCACGTCGTGGTCTTGGATCTTGATAGCAGAATCAAAGTCCGTTGCGCGCAACCGCGACGTGTCCGGAGCACTCGGACTGCAGCGCCGCCCTGTGAGCGCCTTCCCCTGCCTCCGGATGACTGTTGTGCTGTGTCTGACACGGTCGCATGCTCATTTCGTGAAGTGCTTCTCAAAGCCGTGCGCATGTGCTGCGGTCTGACCCGGAAAGACCGGAACCGCCTCATGCATGCGCTGTTCGGCAACACTGGCCGCCCGATTCCCTCCCCCAATGCACACGTTGGCTTTGCTAACCCTTCTCTGGCAACTTGCTATCTGGGATCTGCGTTGCAGATGCTACTGGCAGTGCCGTCTGTTACAGACACCTTGTCATCTATGACAACTTTGTGCCGCAGCGATGCTTGTCCTGTTTGTTTGTTATGTACCACTGCATTGAGCGTACGTTCTGCCACGCAGCCTGTGCTTCTCTCATCGTGGGGGGCGTGGATCCGTGCCATCGGGCGAGACTTCGCAGAGTATCAGGATGCAGGTGAAATCCTGCGTTCTTTGCTGGTGGCCATGTCTGCGCACATCTCGCATCCTGACCTTGACTTCGGGCATTTTTTCCGTTTCAAAATCATGGAAGAAGTTGCGTACGCATGTTCCGCTGGGTGTCCCCCGCCAGCAGAGCGTCATAACCTTCTCGCCGAAATTATGTTGCCGGTTTCCGTGTCCTGTTGCTCGGAGGTGTCTTTGGAGGGCTTGCTGGGAAGCTACTTCGACCAAGAGGAAATCATTCTCCCAGAAGGCCACTCGCCGCCGCAATGCGTGTGCACTCAGCTTCTGACACGTGCCGTGCGTCGTCGGCTTGCGACGTTGCCGGAGTGGTTTCTCTTGGACATCAAGCGCCAGGACGGCGAGCCGGCGGTGGTTCTCAGTCGTTTCGATAGCATCGTGCTATCCGGAACGACTCTGGACTTGGTAGGGGCTGTGACGCGCCATGGGCAGCATTTCATGGCGCATGTTCGGCGCAATGACTCGATTGTCACCTTCAATGACGACTGGGTGTCGCTGTCTTCTGCTTGGCCCGAGTCGGTGTACGCGTGTAGCACAGTGCTGTTGTTTGCACGCCGGCCCGCCTCGCCAACCATGCCTCTTTCTTCAGCCTCCACGCAGCGATCCCTTGCAGATGACGCTGCCACCTTGCTATCACTGTATGCTCAGCGGAAGAATGTGGCCTGCGTGCAGTTCCTGCAGTCCTTGCCGTTGTTTTTGGTGCCCGATAGTGTGCAGCTCAAGGATTTGCCGCATCACCTTCGTGCTGCCATAGAAATCTTGCAATCCGAGGCCATCAACGCCGCGTCGGCTCTTGAGTGTCGGTTCAGCTATCACGACAGCATGCTGTATCCCTTGGCTGTGCTGCTTGAGGCAACGGCGATCGCCTCCGGCATGCCTGCTATCTTCTACATTGATACCGTGCATGGCCTGGTGAACTCCTTATTCCATCATCGCCTCTGCGTGAATTTGGGAAAGTTTCCTGAGTCCCGAAGCCGTTATTGGTTTTCAGGAACCGGGAACATAGGGGATGGCAAGTCACCTGCAGTGAAACCCATCGTTTCCCTTTTGGATTCGGTTCTGGAACGCCATCCGCATTTGTGCGTGGGCACGGCTGTCGATCGGTTTCATTATCAGCAAAGTGGTACGACTGCCGCTGCAATTGACAAGCTTCGTCAGTGTGAGGGGTACCTGACAGTCCATGCGGACGAAGCAGGCCGTTGTTTGTGTCCCAAGTTTGCTTCCGGAGGCGAGACAGATGTGAGCAAGTTTGTGGACCTTACTCACTTCTTCGATGCTGCGCACGGTGGCGAATTCTCTCACACCAATAAGCTGGAGCGGCAAAAATATCTTGGCAAGAAACGGAGAGGAGATCCGAAGGGGCCCGTGCCGACCGAGCTGGAGTTGCACATCAAACACACCAACGTTCACTTCCTGTTCCTTCAGCAGGAGCATCATTTCAGCCATTTCTTTGCTCAGGCAGCAGCCACCCGTCCCACCGGGCTTGCCCAGCGGTTCTTGTTTTCCTTTGGGGCGTACGAAAACCCCAGCCAACAAGATCACCATGGCTTCTTTGAGCAGATTGCTGCTCCAATCATTTCGCGCTTGTTTGAGCTTGTGCTGACCCGTTTCGGCCCGCGAATCCCTGCTGCGGAGGAGATTGCGTTCCGGATCTCCGATGCCCAAGAATCCACCGTGGCTTCTCTCAGCGAAATGGTTTTCATGTTTGCCCGCCGCCGCGGCCGAGATGCGTTTCGAAGTGCTTTGCCCAAGAGCTTGTACTGGCTAGGCACGTCCTTGCTGACCAATCATGTCTTGGAGCAGTTGTGGCCGCATGTTCTAGACAATACGGTGCCGTCCCAGTACGACCTCAACATTTCCGATGATGCGTTTGTGGCAAGCGTGCATTTTATGCACAGGCGCTACCTCCGGGGCCAATCAATTTTGGCTGTCAACGTTGAAGAGAGGACGTGGTTCTTCTCTGATGCTGACCAGTTGACGGACGAGCAGGCGCTCTTTCTCCGCATTTTGCGTGGTTGCTCCACCCGCTCTGTTACAGTGGAGGCTTGCTGTCGTTGCGACTTGTGGTTGAAGTGCGAGATTCGCCAGCGGTCCCCTGCTGCGCTGGACTTGCTACAGCAGTTTTGGCAGCTCTGTTTTGATTTGAACCTGGGTATTTTGATCGGTGACCTTCGGAGCGATCCCCTCGTTTGCTCTCTGCGAAAGCACCACTTGTCGTGTCTCCACGACACTGCACGCACGTGGCTTGTACGCCATCGCATTCCACTTGAGAACTGGACTTTGTTCCCAGTCGATCCGAGCGAAGTCCCACAACAGGCTGCCGTTGCAGCGCGTGCCGCGCGGTGGAACTTCCGCGGGAGTGCTACGTCCGCGACTGCGCCGACCGCGCCTGATGCCCCCACAGCGCCAGCTTCTGTTCAATCGGACGCTGCGCGTGACCCAGATGCCTCGTCCAAGCTGACTCCCGCCAAGCGCGACCCAGGTGCCTTGGCCCAGGCGCGGCCTCCAACTGAGTGCAAGCCAGGTGCCTTGTCCTCACTGCCTCCCCACGAAATCACTGTGCCTGTTCGTCGCCAGGGTGATGTGGCACGATATCTTTCTGGGCACGCCGCCTGCAGAAGCTTTCGGCACAGGGTACATTATTCACACTTTGATGATACCAAGTACACCTTCCAGGTGCATTGCTTGGAAGGGGCTGCTTGTCCTTACAAAGTTCATGCCACGTACTTCCGCCAGCCTGCCGGGTACAAAGCGGGGACCCTGTTACTGACGGCCGTGGGAGATCACAGTACCCACGACGGGTGCGCTCGAAGCGGAAAGATTTTCACCCCCGAGCAAGACAGTGTTGCTCAAACTTTCTTGCGCGCCGGTGGCGGCTGTCCCAAGCTTCTGCTGCGCAAGTTGCAGGACGAGTGCCGAGGAGGTCGGCTGCCTGATAAACGTCAGCTGACGAATTGGTTGCAACGTGCAAAGCAGAAGCGGGACGCAGACAGTGCGAAGCCAGAGCCCATCGACCGAAACCGCGCTGCAACTCTTGGCTGTAGGCTCTCACAATGGAACCGGGTGCCTGAAGCCGTGACGGACTTGTATACGTTCGCAGATCACATTCGCTTGGACCCGCTGGAGATATTTGTGCCGTTTGCTTGCCAAGGCTTGTTGCAAGTCATGAAGCGGTGGTGCGGTTCCGAGGTGTGCTTGGTTGTGGATGTCAAAATGAAAGTTCTGGAGCGTGGTCGAGGCATTGCAACTGCAAGTTTGCTCACCAAGACAGGCCTGCGGAACACCCGGTTGGGAGAAGGTCGCAAACAGGGCAAGGCCTGCGCGTCACGACCCTTTCCTCTCCTGCAGGCTATTGTGGGCTCCGAGTCGCATGAAGTCATCTCATCCTTCTTCAACCTTCTGTGTACTGTCTGGGATACGCATGCAACGCATTGCGTGCCAC